CGTGGTAGCCTTTTCTTTCGCCGACGTAAAAAGGGAACAGGTATGCAACTGAATTATTCAGTCAGGCTCCGGAGATGGTGCCGGGCAGAATCCCTTCCAAATTACGAATGCAAAGGCCCTCTCGTAAAATATTACGGCATCGCCTACCTGTGGCACGCGGCCGGCGAGGGCTCACCCTTTACTTAAGCTCGCCAAAAAAACAAACTAATATGCGTCCTTTCTGCAATTGTAAGTAGCAGAGGGGGCATACATCAACCTGCTACGATAAAAAAAACACATGCGATACCGCGCATTTTCTAGCTGGGAAACCGCGCTTCCTTCGTGAGGTGAATTTCGTCTCAATGTCCATTGCAAGGTACGTACACGCCCAGCGTGCTTGCAATTTAGCATCCCGACCCACGTGACGTAAAATATTATTTTATAATAGGAAGAAATAATTTTAATAAGTCAAAACAATGAGGTGAGTATGGGGGCAGAAGTAAAGTTATAGAAGCTCCACAAGCAAACCAAAAACCATTTCAGCCTTCTCCCCCAGGATTGTTGAAACACACAGGAAACTACTACACACAGGAAAGAAATATTTTTCTCTATAAAATCGGGTCATTTTTACGTACGAAATTTAGAAAGCTAGTACATTGCTGCACGACTGAATATAATGCGAGGCGCATTCACAGAGATTCCCTCTCTCGGCCATCAACAAAAAAAATGAGTAAATGGAAAAAGTGTGCTGTAGCAGATACAGCACACATTGCACTAATTTTACAACATAATCACTTCCGGAATCGAGAGAATCATCATTTAGTGTGATTAACATTTGCATCTCCGCGTCGAAGTTCGCCGCCTGGGATAGGTACCGGTGTTTTGCAGCCACCTGCAACAATTCATCACTGTGATTCCGACTAGACAGGAATTTCGCGTTAAAATAAGGAAATCGCTGGGGGCGGCGGTGTCGCTGGGGGCGGCGGTGTCGCTGGAGGGCGGCGGTGTCTCTCAGAGATCCGAACTGTAAGGTAGATGGCCAACACTCCAGGACAACCGCTGCACATATCTATTGTGAGCTGAGCCGTGTGGCCGAGCGTTATCTTGCAAGACAATACCGGCCATGAGCAACCCTCGTCACTGGTTCTGAATGGTCCTTCGGAAATTCCTGTCTAGTCACCAAGCGCTAAGTTACAGGTGGGTGTGGCACATCGGTTCCTATCCCAAGAGGCATACTTCTACGAAAAAAGGTTCCAATGTTGATTCCAGGAAGTGATGTCTCGATTTTGGTAGTGATTTGGGAAAATATTGCATCATGTGCTGGATGAGCTACAAGAGAGTTCTTCCATCAATGTGATTTCTCTTTTCATTGACTACTTATGGAAACTTACTTTCAGGATTATGTCTCCATTTGAATCACGAACATTGAAATAGTGGTTTTGAAGAATAATTTAAAACTACAATTTTCGACGCACTTTGATACTACCAACACCTTAACCAAACGTAAATGAAGCGTTACACACTCCGTCCGTTTTCATGACCCGGAAAACGCCCTACGCGGTATCTTGAAGGTCAAGGTTCGTGAGCGGTGCCAGCAAAGTGCGCATAAAGCCGGCTATTCGTTCTCGAAAGGGCGCATTCGCTCCGTTCGCTCTCCCCACCCCAAACGACGCGACCGGTAACGAACGCGCCTAGCGCACTGAAGACAGGCGTAAATCAAATTGACGGTCGACCAGTGCGCTGCTCAATCCACCCGTTTTCACGTGCTGTTTTGAAGTAGACGAACGTCGGAAGAAGTATTTTTGGGGCCAAAATCTTTGAAGTCTGAAAAACAGTCGGAGAGGAATTTCTTTCGCACAATACAGATGCCCATAATTTTAGCAAAGTAGTAATGATTATCTCTAGTCAGTGAGAACAGCACATTACAGAAAACAAAATGCTTGTACGTTAGCTGGCAATGCGATAGTATCGCATTATATTAAACAAGAAGACATACAGTCCAAATTCCTAGTAAAGTCTTAAAAGCTGGACATTTGTTTCTAAGCAATTGGGTATTATACTGAAGTCGTAGGCTTCCGCGACCAGAGTGATGTGGGTGATCTGGGCTGTCCGGGTGACGCCGCGTCGAAGGCTGAGTTGCCGACGTTTCGACCATTCTGTCGTGGTCTTCCTCAGGGCTGGTAGGACGACACCAGCCCTGAGGAAGACCACGACAGGATGGTCGAAACATCGGCAACTCAGCCTTCGACGCGGCGTCACCCGGACAGCCCAGATCACCCACATGGGTATTATACTGTTATTAGGTACGCAGCGGGCCAAAAGTACTCATTTCAAGGCAATGGCGTTATTAAATCCGCTGTTGGCTATCCAATATTTTTGCATAATACATTTTTTTTATTACGAACTTTGCAAACCTCTCTTCGATTTTTACGTCTTGTAAATCACTGATATACGTAATTTGAAAAGTTTCTTGTGGTTAACAATAATTTATTAGCATTTTATTATTTAAAATACCGAAAATGAAAATTTTAAGACAAACCTAGGACACATTATACTGAGTTTTTATTATTTCACAGTAAATTTAAACATTCTTGGTAATCGTGAAGAACTGTCAGTGCAACGTGCTATTTAATCGATAAAAATAAACCACGTGGACAACTCCCACCACAAATATGAAAACCATTATTCTTCCGGTACACTAACCAAAAAATCTAACAGTTATCGTCCGATTAGTATGTTTCCCACACCCTCTAAATCTACCAGAGTAAATATTTGCAATCAATGCAATTGGTGTATGAAGCTTACTTCCAGGAGTACAATGGCAATTACGAGTGCGACAGACGTGCTAGGAAATAATTTTGTTCCACTGTATACTTTCCTTTTTTCCCGAATAACTTTTTGTGTAGCTACGCGAGCGCTCCGAAAAATAGCCAGGTTGGAGAGCAACGAAATATTCTGGAAGGGTGCGGGGTGTGAGGCGATATTTCTGGGACACACACCTAATGCTGCCAAGTAACATTCCACAAGTTAAATAGGTTCCCACCTGACGTAATCCAGAAGAGTAAGTTAGCTCTCTCGGTTTTGTTTGGCCATTAGAGCCAACTGACTGCTCACTAAAACTCAGAACTCCACCTTACCCTAAAATCATACCTTACACGCACAACCACAAGTAATCAAGTATAAATCGAAACAATCCACTGGAAGTTTGCAGTACGATATTTTGCCAGCTCAGTATCAAAGAGCCTTCAGACAAAACCGCTATAAATTTGGGCGTTTACGTGCTGACGTTAGAGCTAGGTTTGGAACGTGCAACTTGTTATCGTAACCGCACTTTCTTAAGACTATTCTGATCGCAATTTAGAATAGTTTCGAGCTAATTATTTTCCATACTAAATTCCATTCCATAGATACGTTCCCTAGCAATACAATAAATGTCTTGGAGATTAAAAAGCTAATAAAATTTGCATTTGAGACTTTTAGACTACTGCTGCAGGATAATTTGATTTAAAATGATCAAACATTACTACACATTTGATTTATATAGTCAAAAAACAGTACAAAGTATGGAGGAGAACAAATTCTCTCGAGTTTCAGAACCCCTTCCCAACATTTAAACTATAAATACATGAAAGTTTAATAAAATTTTTTAAAAAATTGAAAAAAAACGTGATATTAACAACTTTTGTAGACACTAGACATTTTCGTTTGCGAGTTATTGAAAACTTACATGCATCGGCAAACGAAACCCAGATTTGATTTCTCTCATGAACACCAAATTTGATTTACATGCCATAATAAATCAACGAATCTCTACAAGTTTTGTTTTTTTTAAATATACAACTTACGATTATTTCAAGTATAAATTTGGGGGATTATAAGACTGAGAACGAACGTAGCGCGCACAGCACAATCCTTCACAAGAGAGTTATGAAAACAAGATTTGATCGTATAAAATAGAAAACTCGCACAAATATGAACAGCAAATACCTTCAAACTTTTTATCTTCGCAGCTCATCGCAATCGCGCACACAAAGCAACGAAGGATGTGGCATCTACGGTTCACTTTTCTTGCTACGTCTTGCTAACAAACCAAAGTAAGGGGCGTGGTTTTACGTACAGTTGGCGAAGTAAGTACACAAAATACAAGTATATTTTAACTCACCAACATGGGAACTGCTTTCCGCGTGTACACCTACCACTGGGCCGTGAAGGAATATTTTGAAACATTTATTACAGGTGTCTCGTGCGATTCGTGCATTGCAAGAGTAAAACCCAAAAGTGACTTCTTAATTTACTTTCATTTTTCTTCAAAAAATGTATAAAATATATGGGGGAGAAGTATAATCTGAGCATGTTTACTTGCGTTCCAGAATTAATACCATTGACTTCGACAAAAACTGTTAAAATATGAAAATCGCCCGGGAAAACGTGAAAAATATACATGCAACAATGAATTCAAAACTTAATTTTTCAACTACGTTCAGAGTTCTTTCTCAATTGTCTAAAAATGTTCAATCTACAGATCATTGCTGAAAGTAGGTAAATTTAAATTATGAGAATTGAGCGTATCTCCCACATATTTCAAATAAATTTGTAACTGAGTATTCATGCATTAAAGGAATTATAATAGATTCTTGTCATAGTATTGCATTAATAACTCTTTAAATAAATACCTTTCTTCCTGCGTTGATTCTGTATTACACACACACACACACACACACACACACACACAAATAGAAATTTTATTCACGAAGTATTTTATAATTAAGAGTTTCTACTTCCTTGCTTGTAATTATTTCTAGAGATATGTACACAAACACATACATACATACATATTTTTATCAGAATCATTAGAACCCATTTATGTAAAAATAAATAACCAGAGGAACACTTCACGAATTATGGACCAGAAAAGTGTAAAGTAAAGAGATTGGAATTATCTATGACGCTTCGTGTGTGAATAATCGAGATATACGACATATTCAAACTGACCCTTGTAAGAAGATAAGTTCGGGAGTACCTTATCTCTCTGTAACACGAGTACTAGAGGACACAGCCTGATGGGATGTAAAAAAATTGATAATGCAATAGCAAATCACACATTACTCACACTAAAATTTAGGATAGTTTAATTTTATTTATAACATAACTCGTAATAACACACAAGTATAAAACTTTATGTGAAGTTTTAACGATTTACTAAATATTTTTCTCGCAGTTGTTCCTATTTTAGTTTCAGTTACTAGTTATCAATAACGTATCTCGCCAGTAATTGCCCATTTCATAGCTTGAAATGCCGATGAAATTTCCGCTCAACCACAGGTGCATCGTTCCACGAGAACTGCGTCAAAACGATCATTCCTCAAAAAACCACCAAGCTTTTCTTCGTACGCGTGTTACGCATTTAATGAGCAGAACGCAGCTAATTTGAAATTATGCGGTCGATCCAGCAGACAAATTGCAGAAACTGATGGCAAATTTACACCGCACATTCCTATCGGCGAATGGTGTATCGCACGTACTCTCCTCCCCGTCCACTTGTGCGCAAACCCAGCCATCCACACGCGCCAGGACGCCGTTATAAAAGCGAAATCCAGATACGAAAAAAAGGGAAGGTGACGCCAGCGCGTGGTTGTGTCCGTGGCCTGGAATCGGCGAGCCCCTCCCCCCCCTCTCTCCTTCACCACACATCCCACTGGCCGATCCCGCACCGGTTTAGACGAATTTCCGATCGATTTCAATGCCTTTTACATGTCCTCTATTTATAGAGCGTCCGTTGAGAAGCGGGTCACACTCCCGAGACACAGATAATTCAGAATTTTTCATAAAACATTTTTATCACCCCCTACCCTGTCTCCTCCTGGTTCCAAGCTTCACAAGGTTTCTGCGATCAAATCGCAGACTTCCTCCCACGCCAAACGATTTTGTTATATATTCTTACTCTTTTTTAAGAAAAACATCCCATAAAAGATCACAAGAGGCTAAAGTGACCTCGAACTCGCCACACACAAAATATTTATAAAATCATACATACAAAAATTAAATCCAATGTTTCCAGTACAATTTAGTGATGGCAACTAGTCTCGGGAGGCGAATTTCGTGAACGTAATTGCAAACATTTACTCCTCACCTTATTGAATTTGTCGAATGTTTCTCAATTTTTTTAACATAACTTAAATAATTAAACCACTCAATTTTTCAAACTTACACCAAAAAATACTATCGAAAAACATTTCTTTACAATCTATCCTTATTGCCGGCACATACTGATAATATAAGACATTCAAATACATATTATTTAACTCTGGCTTCTGCAGGCAACGTGTATATAATTGTTTCATACCTTTCATACTCTGATCATAAGCACCGAATTTCACAGATCTAACAATAAATAAATGAGTAAAAACTTCTCCGAAATGTAGACCCACATGAACGGCCTTGCCAAACTTCACACGATCAATATTGTTTCCAGACGTGTTAGCCCGCGTGCATTACAAATTAATTCGTGGAGGTTTCGTAACAGAACCTCCGTGTATACGTTCAATCTCTTAAGACCACTTAGGTCATCGGATGCAAGGACGAAGGACCAGGCAATTGCAGAATGCCCTACCCGGATGCTATCGCGTATTTCAGACGTCCTTATACTTAATGCAGGATATAACGTACCTTTCTGCGGAGAGAGCAGGATCTCGCGTTTTACTTTCGGCAGCAGCGGCAACAGCAGCGGAACCTAAAACGAGAGAAAATCTACGTGTTAATTTTGCAGCACCTCACGGGCTTGATGAAAAGTATCGTGTGAACTACCAAACGAACTAAACGCTCTCAATATGCATCCCCACGGGATTCGCGCAGTCCACGCAGTTGGAATTCCGGCGCGAGCGAGATGGCACGGTTTCGCGAGCCCTCTTCAACGAGCGGCGCTCTGCAAATTAAACCGGCCGCTCAGGAGAAAGAAACGGGAGCGGGAAGGGGAAGGGCAAGAGAAAAAGAGAGACGACACCTAATCCCATTTGGCCTCACAAACGTGACGCGATAACGTAAGATCATAAATGGACGAGGCCGTTCTTTGAATACGAAGCTGAATTAAAGGCGAGGTTTGAATGCTGGCCACGTCTCCACACAACTCATTCAGGCGCGGACGCCCAATTGACATTAGACACATTTAGGCCTGCGCCTCGCTCGCCCCTGATCGAATTGATTCAGGTCGGCCGGCCGGCCGGCCGGCACCGCCGCGGAGCTATTGGCTAAGTGGTCGCGCGGACCGTTTAGCCGCACGCGATCGCCACGCGACGGGACCGCCACCGAATGGCCATGCAATGGTTTGCGTGATGCACATCACAACCATATTACTAATAATATTTGAGGCACTCGATATTAAGGTTCATTGCGTAATTTATAATGTAGTATGTATAATACGTATATTAATTGCATGGTTGTGAAGTTGATCCAAGTCGCAAGAAATATAACATTGTAATAACAGTTCAAAATACATCTTGAAAATGGCACTGAGTTAAACAACGTTTATTCTATTTGCTATATTTATAGACATCTAGAAAAATGACAGAATAAAAATAGGGAAAATAACATTTTTGAATTGCGCATACAAAATCACATTCTTTGTACTCCACAGTATTAAAAAGACTTGA